GTGTGTATACACATACGTACCGCATCTTCTTTATCCATTCATCAATTGATGGACATTTGGGCTCCTTCCATACGTTGGCTATGGTCAATAGCACAGCTATAAACATTGGGGTGCATGTGCCCCTTCAAAACAGTACTGCTGTATCCTTTGGATAAATACCTAGTAGTCCAATTGCTGTAGTTCTATTTTTAATTTTTTGAGGAACCTCCATACCGTTTTCCAGAGTGGTAGCACCAGTTTGCATTTCCACTAGCAATGCAAAAGGGTTCCTCTTTCTCTGCATCCTCGCCAACATCTGTTGTTGCCTGAGTTGTTAATTTTAGCCAATTTGACAGGTGTGAGGTAGTATCTCATTATGGTTTTTATTTGTATTGGGGAGAGAGAGAATTTTAAGCAGGCTGCATGCTCAGTGGGGAGCCTGACACAGGCTCAATCCCATGACTCTGGGATCATGACCTGAGCCAAAATCAAGAGTCAGATGCTCAACTAACTGAGCCACCCAGGCACTTGTATGTTTTTAACTTGAGAGAGAGATCTTTCTTAACATTTGATCATGTTACTAACCACAAACCTAAGTTGCTAGCCCTGTTCTCCACACATACGTGTGTATGTAATTTTTTAAAATTTATTTATTACTTATATTCTTTAAAATGATGTTTACTATATTACCTATATTATATTTTTATTATATGTATATATATTTAATGGTCTTTTACTTAACGTGTCACAGGTGTATGTCTGAAAGTAAAGTTGTTCACCCTATGAAATATAAAACAGTACTAAATATCTTCTGGATATCACATCTCTGTTAATAGCATTACCATCTACTCAGTTGCCCAAGCAGAGACCTGGGAGTCATCCTATGTTGTATCCCTACACTCCCATCCCAGAACTTCTGGGACATAGCAGAGTCTTATCAATTGACTGCAGAAGCAATAAATAAATGATTTGTCTCAAATCTGCTACACTGGCATAAGATTTTGAATTGAGTGGAAGTGTAAACAGTTTAGAGAGGGGTTGTCATGATTAGGACATGAGTGCCTGAGTCCAACTGCCTGGACTTATTCAGATAAAATTGCTGAGGCGCCTGGGTGGCTCAGTTGGTTAAGTGTCCAACTGTTGGTTTCGGCTCAGGTCATGATCTCACAGTTCATGGGTTTGAGCCCTGCATCGGGCTCTGTGCTGATAGTGCAGAGCCTGCTTAGGATTCTCTCTCTCATTCTCTCTCTCTGCCCCTCCCATGTGCTCTCTCTCTCTCACTCTCTCTCTCTCTCTCTCAGAATAAATAAATAAAATTTTAAAAAGTTTCTAATTCTTTAGGTTTTCTTAGTCTCCATTTCCTAAACAATAAAATGAGGTTAATAGTTCTACTTAATGGGTTTGTTGGGTAGATTAAATGAGATGATGTATGTTAAGGTATTTATTGTGGTACCTATCACAGTAAATGGTAGCTACCGTTACTACTACTACTGCTGCTACTGCTACTGCTATTGCTACTACTACTTTTTCGTTTAATGATTTCCAAATCCTGGCTAATGTTACTGATTAATGTTACTTGTAATATACTCTTTGATAGTTCCAAGTGAAATAAGGACAAGAGAGAGAGAGAGAGAGAGAGAGAGAATAAGAATTGTTGCCAGCTGTCTTTTCCTGGAAAGGAATCTTTTAGCCCAAGATTGTTTTCTCTTCTTTTTGGTTTTTAAAACCCTTTTGTTTGTGAAATGAAAAATGTACTCTTTTAGTTATTTTTGTTGAGCAGATATCTGTCCCCTCCCCCGACTTTATGTATGTATGTTGGTTTTTAATGTATTTACTTAGTTTACTTATTCACAAAATCCTAACATCTGGAAACCACTGAGACTCTTAGAGGTGGCATTATACACCCAAGGTCACAATGTTTGCCTTCTTTATTCTCACCCCTATATCTTTGCTATTTTTCACCAAGAAGTTTAGAGGTTAGCCAGGAAAAAAAGATTAATCCCATAGAACAGGAAAAATGTAAGCTTTCAAAATAATTATAAACCTAAAGATAAACTTTTGTTCTTAAAAATTAAATGATAAATTACTCCTACTTCTAAAATTTGGTGATTGCTGGGGCACCTGGGTGGCTCAGTAGCTTGAGCGTCTGAGTTTGGCTCACATCATGATCTTGTGTTCATGGGTTCAAGCCCCACCTTGGGCTCTGTGCTGACATCTCAGAACCTGGAGTCTGCTTTGGAGTCTGTGTCTCCCTCTCTCTCTGCCCCTTGCCAGCTTACGCTCTGTCTCTCTCTGTCTCTCAAAAGATAAAACATTAAAAATATTTTTTTTAATTTAGTGATTACAATAGAGATAGAAGGACATCAGATATTTTGAATATTTTGCCTCACACTGGGGTCTTTTTATCATTTATCCTTGTGAATAGACACATTGCAGACTGAAAGAATACTAAAGCAAATGCAGCTTACTCAGTTTCTACATATACTTTATTTTGGCTTGCAAAAGTTCTTTTACAAGTTTTTTACAAGTTCTTTTACTCTCTCACTGCCCTTCCCCCACACGTGTGCTCCTTCTTTGTTTATTATTTATTAATAAATAATTTATTATTTAATAAATAAATAAACATTTTTAAAAAAACTAGTTTCCCTTAGGGCACCTGGGTGGCTCAGTTGTTTAAGCATCTGACTCTTGATTTCAGCTCAGGTCATTATTTCAGTTTGTGGGACTGTGTCTTGTTATATGGTCTGGATAAGTTCGTACTCAGTGAGTCCTTCCAGTTTCTAGACAGGCCTCTACTTCACATCAGCCATGATCAGTATCTTAGAAAATTCTTGCCAAAGTCTTAATCCCCCACTTTGGGCAAAAGTGCTTTGTCATTCATCCAGGATACATTCCCCAGTGTTTGGACCAATGCTGAATAGGTCGTTTATTCTGATGAAGAAAGTGTAGAAAAACTCCAGTAAACTATATTTAGCATATTCTTTATACACAGATGTCATGTGTTTTATTAATGTCTTTCACAGTGTTATTCACAGTATTTCAGTCAAACTTGACCTAACTCAACACTGTTGCCATGTGTGTCATGACTTCTTGTAAGAGCTGTGGCAGAAAACAAGCGTGAAGCAGGTTTTCTAGTCCCTCCAAGGAAATGAGCCAACTCCTTCTCCCTCATTACCATTCTACCAGTCAGGAGAACATATGTACCCTGGTTGTGCCTCAGTTGCTGTGGTATCAGCAATAACAGGCAGAGAAGGAAAAAGAAGGGAAAGCCTAAAACAACAGTCATGACTAGGCTGGTCCCCAGGCTGTGTAGTTATAAAAAAATATCTTTTATGGCTAACGTGTAGAATTTCCTGTAACTCTGGATTTTTTACCTCTTCAAGATCAGAGTTGTTGTTATATTTCTAAAGGACTGATTTTCTTTATGCTTCTTCCCACCCCCTTTACCTGATTCCTCCACCTCATGACTGTCTTGGTAACAAAGCAACCAAAAGTAATATATGACTTTCTGCCCCTCTTCAGTTTATGTCCATGGTATACTGATTTTTAGAGGTAAAGGCACACTTTACACATTTAAATGGCTATGTGGGCATACTTTTATTTTTTTTTTCTTTTCAATTTTATATTTAAATTATAGTTAACATACAGTGCAATAGTGGTTTCAGGTGTAGAATCCAGTGATTCATCACACACTTTTAAAACCAATTTGATGTAAAGATGAAGATTTAAGGAAGAATAAGGGAAGTTTTTCAGTGCCTGTTTGCTTGCTCTGTCTTACCCTGTCTGTTGCACTTCTCTTTGCCTTCCTTTGTTTCTGTTTTCCTATATCAAGTAACAATTCCTATAAACATTCTTTGACTTTATTGGTAGTCATTATGCCTGAATAGATGAAACATAGTTCAGAGTAGATCAGTTTATTCCTGCTGAAATGTTAATCCATTTAGCAGTGCACTGTGATCGAACAGAAAACTTCTCGTGCCTGGGAGCAGGTTAAATAATTATGTTTGCAATTCCTGTTCCTTCTGCCTGGAATGTCTTTCTCTTTCTCACCTCCATATATTCCTTGTTTAAAAGACCTATCTCAAATGTAATGGCTTCTTCTCCTAGAAGAAGCCTACAACATGTTCTTGTTAGACTCCTTGTTAGACTGTAAGATTTTGGGGGGTAAGAACTGTATTTTCTTGGACTTGATATTCAAGAACTGTTTTTGACCATTCATTCTTCATTGGATAAGCTGTATTCACTTTTTTTTTTTTTAACGTTTATTTATTTTTGAGACAGAGAGAGACAGAGCATGAACAGGGGAGGGGCAGAGAGAGAGGGAGACACAGAATCGGAAACAGGCTCCAGGCTCTGAGCTGTCAGCACAGAGCCTGACGCGGGGCTCGAACTCACAGACCGCGAGATCATGGCCTGAGCCGAAGTCGGCCGCTTAACCGACTGAGCCACCCAGGTGCCCCCGTATTCACTTTTTTTAAGGACTTTACAATCTAATAATGGTGACATATCAATCACAGATAACCATAATACAAACTAGAATGCAGTCACTGCCACAAAGAAGGAAGAAATCACTTCTTGCTGTGGGAATTAGAGACACCTAGGTTATCCCAGGCTTTGTGGATGAGGCAACATTTAAAATGTGCCATGAAGGATGAGTGTGAAATGTGAAATTAATGGGACCTGGCTTTTTTTAATTTCTTGATGGCTTTATTAGAAATAGTTTAAGTGCATGGGAACTATATGATTTGACATATTCCAAAGCCTTAAACCTAGAATTAGTTTTCTTGCTTTTGATCTGAAATAATTCATGGCTTGATTTATACAAAAGAATGTAATGTATGTGTGTCAGGGGTGAGGTATCAATTTGTTCACTATCTTTGTGGACTTAAGTCACAAATTCAGGAACTGATATTTAGGATTAGGTATTTTTCATCTGTCTGAATGTTTGTACCAACCAAAAGAGGGCATGAAATTCTGATGTATTTCTGTCCTATTGGATTGATTTTCTTTATTCATTTTAGCCACAGATCCCTTTGCTTCTGTTTTTGGAAATGAATCATTTGAAGGTGGATTTGCTGACTTCAGCACATTATCAAAGGTAATCTGCAATGATTAAGTGGGAAAGTAAAATATACTGTGTTTCTACCAGTGGAAACTTTCAGTTATGTAGCCCTCACAGACATTGCAACTTGATTTCAGCAAGTCACTGTAAATGTTGTTTTCAGATAGAAATGATAGATAAGATGGGG